CCAATCGAGAATCTGTGGAAAGAACTGAAAACTGCTGTTCACAAATGCTCTCCATCCAACCTCACTGAGCTCGAGCTGTTTTGCAAGGAGGCATGGGCAAAAATTTCAGTCTCTCGATGTGCAAAACTGATAGAGACATACCCCAAGCGATTTACAGCTGTAATCGCAGCAAAAGGTGGCGCTACAACGTATTAACTTAAGGGGGTTGAATAATTTTGCACGCCCAATTTTTCAGTTTTTTATTTGTTAAAAACGTTTGAAATATCCAATAAATTTCGTTCCACTTCATGATTGTGTCCCACTTGTTGTTGATTCTTCACAAAAAATTACAGTTTTATATCTTTATGTTTGAAGCCTGAAATGTGGCAAAAGGTCGCAAAGTTCAAGGGGGCCGAATACTTTCGCAAGGCACTGTATATACCACCATCACATAGTAGAAGTGGCGGATATCAAAAAATCCTACCAGTGGCTGGACACAGCTGGACTGAAAGACAGCACAAAGGCACTAATCATGGCAGCACAAGAACAAGCTCTAAATACAAGATCAATAGAGACGGTCTACCATACCAGACAGAACCCCAGGTGCAGGCTGTGCAAAGATGCCCCTGAGACAATCCAGCACATAACAGCGGGGTGCAAGATGCTAGCAGGCAGGGCATACATGGAACACCATAACCAAGTGGTTGGCATAGCGTACAGAAACATCTGTGCCAAGTATAGGCTGGAAGTTCCAAAGTCAAAATGGGATACACCTCCAAAGGTGGTTGAGAATGACCAAGCTAAGATCCTGTGGTACTTCCTGATACAAGCTGACAAACGTAATGGCCAACCAACCGGACACAGTAGTGGTGGACAAACAGAAGAAGAAGGCCGTAATGATAGATGTAGCATTTCCAAGCGATAGCAACATCAGGAAGAAGGAACATGAGAGGCTTGAGAAATACCAAGGGCTGAAAGAAGAGCTAGAAAAGGTGTGGAAGGTGAAGGCACAAGGTGGTAATAGGAACACTGGGGGCTGTGACCCCCAAACTGGGAGAGTAGCTCCAACAGATCCCAGGAACAACATCTGAGATCTCTGTCCAGAAGAGTGCAGTGCTAGGAACAGCTAAGATACTGCGCAGGACCCTCAAGCTCCCAGGGCTCTGGTAGAGGACCCGAGCTTGAAGGAAGACATACAAGACCGCCCCAAAGTGGGGGGCGAGTGGGGAATTTTATTTGTTTTTTATAATTTCAATAGTTTTTTGATATATAAACATGATTCTCAATAAAATGCACACTTGAGAAATGTCCGTGATTCAAATAAATTTTACTGACTTTGCGTCCAGAAGTCAAAGGGCATGCAAATACAGGTTTTTGATCCAAAATTAATTTTTTTGCCTTCAGTTTGATTCTCTTTTTTTTTTTTTTTTTAAGAAAACTACATGCACCTTAAGTAATCAATTCTGCAGCATACAAACCACAAAAATACCAGTTTTACATTATCAAATACTGCACATAGAAAACATTTACAAAGCATAAGTATAAAATTACAGCTCCCTTATAATTGTTTGCCATAAACTGCATCCTTTCATCACACTCATCGGGACTTTAAGACATACTCTGAACACTCCTCAATGAAAAGGTCTAGGCCAGTTAAGAAAAGACAACCACTCGCATACCAAAACCAGCAATCCAGTTTACCTGGGATTTAAGATGCTCCCATCCATCTTTACATTTGGTTACAAGGCCTCAATCTAATATATGTGCTTGGGAATGTCACTGTGGTCCATTAAATCTAATCAAAACTTAAGATTTACTTTATTATGATGTTCTATATTAAGCCATTACTTTAGGGGTCTGTTCTTTGCTGGGCTTGATATGATGAAGGTTGTCTTGACAATGGGGTGGGAAGCTACAGTGGCCTAAATATAGTCTGACAGACATCTAAAAAGACAGGCTGGCTACTCAGGACACTTGTGCTATGATTACCAACATTTATAGACATGGATGAAGACAAACTGGCATATTCAGCAGCAAAAACTCCAATTTGCCCATCACCTCAGCTGTGATGTCTCTTTTGTTCTCATTGGCAGCTGCTACATTGGCAAATAGATATATGGAATGCATGCTTCATTAGAAGCAAAAAACAGAAAAAATAATAAAACTAAAAATTGCTGCTCACAGGGGCTATCGTAAAATACAGCAGTCATTGTTCACAATGCATTGCATGCCCTGTTGATTCTAAATGGCTTTTAATGCTTGAAAATGTGATTTATATCTTATTTTCTATGTTTTGTCATCATGGTGGCACTGCTGATACTGACACCAAAGAGGCCCCAGGAACAGTAAGAGACTACAGTCGATGGTTATTGTCAGAAGAAGATGTACAGTATTTCAGAAAATGGAAGGCTAAATCCATGCTACTTTAAAATGCAATGTTTTGCATTTTGTTGAATTGCCTTTGACATTACACTGGGTCTAACTGACTTCATAATCAGACATTATTATCATCATCATCATCAGAAAGATTAAATACAAGAAAACAATCAGAGTTACCATGCAGCAAACATTTGCTAACTCAAAGTACAAAAACCCATGGCAATTCCATCGGCTTGACAGATACATTTGTCCAGGGGAAAATGTCAGTCATTTCTGCTTACAATCATCATGGCAAAATAAATAAAAATGCATTTGTGCCAGACAGAATTCAACCACAGAGCTGTTCTTTTAAATGAACAATAAAGAATAAGACATGTGTAGAGATTACAGAACAGCGAAAGCAGGGGCCACCTGAACTGATGCAGGTGAGGCCCCTGGAAAAGTCTTCAAAGAGACTGTAATAAACAAGATGACAAAAAAAAAAACCATTACACTTGGTTTGGGTGCAAGGGTCAAGAAATACATTCATAAAACTATACACGTACACATATACAACTTCAACACAAAATTTTAAGCAAAATACATTTGTCAAAACTTTCAGTTATGCTGCAATAGCGAAGCAATATCTCCTGCACAAAATAAGGCCATTGTATACAAAACAAGCCCTCATTTTCATGAAAGTCTAAAGGCAGGTTTTGCCCACACCGCCTCTCTGACTTTCCCTTGCCCTTCTCCGAATAATACCACTCTCCTTACAAAAATAAAATACATTTTCAACATAGCACTCAAGAGACAATTCAGATTGATTGAAGATGCATTATAAAGTTATACAACATAATTAGGTTAGAGTTCTCAGTGGAAGCAAGCAAGCGTATTGGTTTACATCCCAAGCATTCATAGCCTTTACATTCAAATCTCAATTTTGCCATGTTGAGCCACTGTCTGACTCAGGTTAGTGCTATCTTTAGCTATCTGAAACACAATTTATCAAGCTCTACATGCTGTGCTGTTTTCAATACAATGTTCCCTAGTGTTTGATGGAACAATAACCAACAATATATTAACCTGCTTTCATGCATCTTCCTTCATATTGAAAAAGTTCTAAGCATCCTTCATCTTCAGAAAACCATAAAAACTCGGACAACCTGCTGTACCCGTCCTGCCATAGTTAACCCTTGAGCTTCAACCACTTCAAGCATAATAATTCGTTTGACTCACCTAAAACAGTAGCATCTGTGTTCAAATAAATAAAATGATCAAGTGGTCAGACAATGCATGTTAATTACGTGATGCTACAGTAAAGTAGTCTTTTAACTGTAGTAAATGCCGTGAAGAGAGAAAAAGGTGTTAACGCTCATATTTGAAAATCCTGATCCTTAAATTCTCTACACTGTAGTCCACTGTCAACATTATTTGACAAGTAGATTTTTTTTATAAATACAGTATTTACGCATGTTTAAATCTTACTCATCTTACTGCCCTGACACTCATTATGCATCACACACTACAATAAATGCACCTCACTGAAAAACACACCCACACTACATTTTGAAAAAAGGCAGTATTTCAATTTTTCCTTTTGGTTGCAGGAATCAAAGGATTTGGACACATTTGGAAATGTTCTGCTGTGCATCAAGTTGTCACAGGATAATTATACATCTCATTGCATTGTCTGTTTTCCTGCTCTATATAACCAGAATGGTTAATGTTTTAGGTTACTATAGCCTACAGCAAAAGGACACGCACAGTCTCAGAAAAGCTTCAAAACATTTGGAATCACATGGAAAAAGATTAACAGTAGCTTTACAGTTCACCAAGGATTAAACATGTAGCAGGGATCGAACATGTCAAGAAATTCCTTTCAAATTTCTTCTGAATTTTTTTTTAGGTTTTAGGTTATTTCCCTTTATTTTCTGTCAACCAAGCTTTTTGTGTTACAGAAAGGCACACACTGAAGAGAATGTGTGCAAATACCAAGAGTATAAGTGCTAGTTTTTATATTATGCCAGCTGTCCACAAAAATAGATACAAATCAACAAGGAACATAAAACTGCTTCATATATACGTGAGCATACAAATACAGATCCAAGAAGGAATAGCTCCAAAATGTAAAACAAATTGGAACCCAAACCTCGATGGTTCTTTTAAAAGGGTTGTATATATATGATGGGAGGATGAGAAACAGCCACCACCCTCCGCCAAAAAATTCAAGAACACCACAGATCCCTTTATCCAAATTCCAAAAAGCAATGAATTCTGTTGGTCTGAGCTGCAGAGAAGACAAAATGCCTCAGAATTTCCCTTTTTGCAGAAGGATTAAGGTAGGAATCATAGTTCTTAGCATACAATAGAACATACTGTATGGTGGTGATAAAACTACAGTAAATGTTAGCTATGCATACAGGCTTTTAACAGGCAGTAGATTGAGACTGTCCACTCTTATCACTTCTGAAATACAACAGTCTTTATCAATATACAAGGTTTGGTGCTGCTCTCAAGACAGCGTCAAAACTCTTTAAAAAGCGACTGAGGAGAAAGATATACTAAATCTTCATTTTAATAAAAACAGTAAACACCAGTAGCTCAGTTAGTCTTGTTACTCCTCTGCTGTCAGTGACGACCCAACTATTCCACACTTGACTAAAGCAGCCACTGGGTCACTCACCTTTTTGAGAAAGACAAAAAAGGTGAAACTGAAAGCATCTATTTTCAACAAAAACTTGAAATTATCAGTTAACTCATTTGTTTCAATCCACCAAATACAAAAGTGCTTTGGCTGCTTTCAAAACTTACATTATTTATTCTTTAAGGGCATACTATTTAACACTGTTATGTTAAATAAAATGTACACATTCTTCTTACTTCCTCTAAATTTATGAATTGACTTCTCCAAATTGCAAGATTCATAAATCTACCAGCTTTGTCATTTTTTTTCCTCAGAGCATGTATTTTCTATTTCTACAAATAAATTACTTTATGAATGCTCAGATTTCAGTGCTATAGGCAGAACTGACCCATTTCAGCTATTATAGTGGGCCTTCACAATGCAGTTCATAATACACACAAGCTACACTTCAGAGATGTTTAATGCAGTGTGACCAAAAAAAAAAAAAATACAATAAAGTGCTCAACAACAGCAGGTTTAAAAAAAAAAAAAACAACATTTAACAGTGAAGTGCTAAGTTAAACACATGCACACTGCCTGGAAATATAAAATAAAACTACATAAATATATGACAGATACTGCAGCTGAAACAGGTAAAACTTGCTTATATGGCAGGTTAACAATCAACCTGCTACCAAAATAATACTGGCATAAACAGTCAGATATCAAAAGGAAAAACCTCACCTGGACTCAAATACGTGTTTACACATTTACAACAGGTTTAGCTGCAGCCAGAGTGACAGGAGTGACCAAAACAAAGCAGGAGGGTTTATAGTTGGTACCAGTTGTGTGTGTGTGTGTGTGTGTGTGTGTTTGTATCTGGCTGTGATCTGACCAGATGTGGAGAGAGACCAGAGGTAGAAGTACAGTCATTACCTTCCTGACTCCTCCTTCACTTAGGAAAAGTGCAAAAAAGAGTGCGACACTATGGCAGCCCCTAGATGCAGAACACATGAAGCCCAGACAAATGGAACACATTTCCCAAAATGTGTTTGTGCCAAGTGCAGTACAACATTTCTTTAGTCTAAGATGAAGCAGGATCAGAAGTTTGTTCCTCGGTGAATGTGCAGCTGGCTGACTAATTTGTTCCCTTCTTCTGCAGATGGCATTGACAGCGCTCTCCCTGTTGCCAGAGTCCCGTCCTTGTCCCGGACTCAGTGGAGCGCTGTATTTTCAGGACTAGTCACAAAATAAAGTGGCACTATAGTCCTTTTCCATTGGTCAAGGTGAGCTAAATAAAAAATGTCTCTACAAGTGGTGCAAGCAAACATGCAGAATGCAGTTGATACATAAACACAAAGAAATATATCTATATATATATATATATGTATATCTATATATAAACTCTGCTCTGTGAAAATTATAGAATAGCAGTGTTGCTACCTCACATAACAACCATTATGTGAACATCCAAGCCTGTTGCCCAGGTATGTTTGTGTGTTTGGCCTAGTGTTCTCAGCTCGTGTGTGTAGAATGTATCTTCGTTTTTTTGCATTACAGCTAAGTCATTGACTCTGCTACATATCCATACCTTATATTGTATACGAGTTCATCTGCTATTTATTGTAATAATAACAACAGCTTTGGTTTTAAAAAATAAAAGTTTTTTTCTTAGTTTGGCATAGAGAGTTTAGAAACTGGCATTGGGATGAGTCTGGTACCACTAAACGCAGAATATGGCACCGGGTGGATCGTTGTGTCATGGTAGGAAAGGTTCAAATGAGAGGGTGACAAATGCTACATGTTCTGGTAAACCATGTCTACTTCAAGTTGTATTTGCTAAGCCTTTTGCTGACTGAAAACACTGATCAGTGGGTACCAATATGGACATACAGTAGCATGCAATGTCCAGTAAAGGATGGCAGCGTGTGTCTGTGTGTATTCATGTGAATGAGATCAGATATTATATGTCATATGTGTTCCTGCACATGGGTGTGTATGCCTGTCTGTCTTGCACTTCAAATACAGTCGTTGTGTATATACAGTACAGTGCGTGTGTCTGTGTCTGCAGGATGTGCCCGTGCATGTGGGTGTCTACTGGGTGTCTAAGTGCACAAGGGGCTGGTGGCGCTCTCCAGGGAGGACTGGGAGAGGCGTCTAGTGAGGGGTCCGATGCTGGGGTCTGCCAGAGAAGAGGTAGGGAACAGCTTGTACCAGCCGCTGACTGTGGCAGACAGGTCCAAGTCCTCCAAGAGGATCTGGGCCATTCCCATGAAGCACTTGTGGTCCATACGCCCGTAATCCCCCCACACTATTACCTGTAGAGAATATGACGCATAGGGAAATCTAGTAGGTATATTATGATGCAAGTCATAACTCATGTTCTTAAAGATAACAAGAGGATTATAAGACGCTACTTTTGTCGCTTCCTGCACACACCTTCATCATGGACAGCACACGACGAAATGCATATGATGCCGCTTCAAGTTACAGGCTATCAATCTGGCTGTCGAAATATCTCATGTTACAACGTGTACAACATGTTTTTTCGTCTTACATTTAAGTGGGTGCGACTTATAGTCTGGTGCGCCTTATAGTCCGGAAATTACGGTAGTACTTTCATTTATTTTAAATATCAAATACATATGTACAACTCTTCCTCTAAAGCACCAAAACTTTCTGGCAGCTAACACCTAAAATGTCAACATTTATTTGTATTTTTGTTGTGTATTGTGTCTGACAGATCAATATGAAAAAAAGACATGATAAAAAGGTGGAAAGAAAGGAGAGTTGGAGAGGAAAAGAAGGGAGGAAAGCAAGGTATCACTTACCTGCAGGACTTTGCCCTGAGGACTCTCATTAAACAATAGAGCCTGCTGGTAGGTGGGGTCCAGAGTTTTCTTCACTACTTTGGTTTTCTTCTTGGCCAAGCACACTCCGTTCTCCAGGACGTACACTTTCACATAGGTCGCTGCAGGCACAGTGCACACAAAAACAGCACATTGAAACTGCAACATGGGCATGCAATTGAAAGTTTGTGAAAGACTCAGCAGCAGGCAAAGTCAGTTCAGAGTACCTGGTATGTTCTTTGAGCCTGGTTTAGGGATTAGCCCTCTGGCCTGGTTGACCTCCACCTCCAGCTGCCCTCCTCTGTCTACCATGCCAACATGAACATCCCCTGCAGAGGAAAAACACATAATCTCTACCAGTCCAACATTGTTTTAAATAATCAGAATAGTTGATCAAGTTTCAACTACAGTTTCCAAAAAACTAACACTCTAATGTTGCAGTGGCCAATATCTAACAGCAGATGGCGATACAGATCATTCAGTCTGACTTCACAACCAGGTATGGAGGAGCACACTGCTCAGCTGTTTTTCAGAAGGAATGACCTTTGCATGAAAGAATTATATCTCATGCAAGAATAACTTCGTTCACACTGAGTGTTATATTTTTATATAGTTTGTTGGTTGTGGCTGTGTTTATTTGAATTAGAATTCCTATCGTTCTTCAGAAATATTTATACACTCATATATTACACATTTTCTTTCTTGTGATTATCTCTTTATAGATTAATGGCTGTGGAGTGATATGTCAGTGCTTAACAGATGCTTCCCACCTAAATGTCAATTGTACATCAGTGCAAGCACAATCAATTGTTAACCAACCAAAAGAATGTGAGGAACATTAACCACCAGCAAACACTACTAGAGCAGAATAAAACTGACTGGTGTGGTTGGTCTACATCACTCTTGGCTTACCCATAGGGGGTGTGGCAAGTGTTTGCCGGCCTACAATCTGTGCGGGGCCTAGTCCATCTAGAAAGTCACTGAACTGGCTCTCGGGGCCGAGGCGTGTGGGAGGGAAGACAAACCTGAGAGACAGAACAAAAGTGATGTTAGATTAATGCATACTGTTTATGGATGGGTGGATGAACTGTAGGTTGGATACTCACGTTCCATCTGAGCTGTTTGAGTTGGTGCTCCCGTCAGTGGAGTCCTTGCTGCCCTGCCGTGTCACTCGGTTCCTCATCTCCACGGCAATGCCGGTCTCTGTGCTCCGTCGAATGGTGCTACGTAGCTTCTTTGTTCCACCATCTGAAAAACACAGAGGTTGCAGTGCCTGCTTTAACTGCCCTTATTTCAGAAGGATAATCCGCTAAGCATAATAATCGGAAGAAGTGGTAGAGTAGTCTGATAAGATCAGGCTTTATACAGGGCCGGCACCTACATGATAAGACCTTTACATGGATGTTCTTCCTGTAATGCTGCAGTAGGTGATATGAAATTACCTGATTCTCTACAAATATTGTTCTGCAGATGTTTCTTCATGTGAGATTTTCAGTTCATGCTCAGTTGTCCAATTGCTTTCTGAGTTTATAAGAAGACCTGCAACTGACAGTGGATGGATGTTTCTGTTAAACCCGGACTATCATCACAGGTGCCCCCCAGGGATGTGTGCTCTCCCTGCTGTTGTTGCTCTCCTTCTATATCAACAACTGCACATCGGGAGACTCCTCTGTAAAAATCCTGAAGTTCACAGATGACATAAAGGTCATCAGCCTCATTCAAGACGCTGACGAGTCATCCAAAAGCCGGGAGGTTGAATAGCTGGCCCTGTGGTGTGGTCACAACAATCTGGAGCTGAACATGTTGAAAACAGTGGAAATGATAGTGGATTTTTACCGTTGTGCACATCGGGGGGGTTGAATTTAGGTTGGTCTTGAGAACACACATTGCTCCACTTATTTTGAAGCAAGCTTGCTCAGGCAGGAGGATAATCTCACCTAATATCCACCGGGATGTCCCTGTACTGTTGGAAAATCTCTCCCACTTTGCAGGTAATACTACAGGTCATTTTAAACACACTAAGCCCACTTTACAATGGCTGTTGTGAGTAGGGGGCAATAGGCTTTTACTGTAGGGGGACTCCTGAGCCTGACTTCCAAGGTAGAAACACACACATATTAGCAGTTTGAGGAGTGCTGTGAGTAGGTAGGTAGGTAGGTAGGTAGGTAGGTAGGTACTTTATTGATCCCTCAATGGGGAGCAGCAATGGAGAACAAACAACACAACACCATAAGAAACAAACACCACACACATATCTTGATAAACAAATTTCAGTAACTCAAGCAGCAATAGAGAACAGACAGCATAACACCATGAGAACAAGCACCGCACACACATCCAGATAAATACATTCCAAGTACTCAAAAATAAACAGAATCAAGTATTTGAATAATCAAGAACAGAATTTACATATATGCATATTAACCATGCATTTTACCCCAGGATTTGAGTATTGCACCTCAGTTGACTATTACATAGTCCCTCATACTTTCACCTAGCTTATCCCTGCAGTGATGTGTTGTACAGTCTGATTGCTGTGAGGAGGAATGACCTACGGTAACGCTCCTTCTTACACTGGGGATGTAACAGTCTTGCACTAAAGGAACTGTTCAGAGCCTCTACTGTGTGGTGCGCGGGGATGGGAGGGGTCATGCATGATGGATGTTAGTTTTACCAGCATCCTTCTGTTCGCCACCTCCTCGATGGAATCCAGGGGGCAGCCCAGGACAGAACCAGCTCTTAACCAGCTTGTTGAGTCTCTTTCTGTCCCTGTCCGTGCTACCTCCTGCCCAACCCACAATAACGTAAAAAACAGCAGAAACAGACAGTATCATAAAAAGTCCAAAGGAGTGCCCCCCGCACACCAAAGGACCAGTCTCCTCAACAAGTGGAAGCGGCTCTGGCCCTTCTTGTACAGGACATCAGTGTTTTCAGTCCAATCCATTTTGTTGTTGAGGTGGAACCCCAGGTATTTAAAGGTGTCCACTCAATGAGTAGCAAGGTAGAAAGAAAGTCAGGTGGCTAAGCCGTGAAGGGGCTTTACAGCTCTGCTAACGCTGCTACCATTTGGAGAAGGTCACCGAGAGAGGCGCATATAACTCTCCAAAGCTTACTAAATGGCTAAAATGGGTAATATCGCCTTGTTGTGCTTCATTTGTACTGCATCATATACTGCATTTAGTAGAGCTACCTTTCAGAACTTTTAGAATGGGTTCAACAGCATCAGTGTCGACTGAATCATTGATATGAGGATGTCTTCATGCTCCAATTTAGAATTTTAATTAAAGTAAAAATTTTAACTTTGGTAACAAAAACTATAAAGATTTCCTTGAATGGTCATAATCTCCTGGCAACTGCACATTCATGTGAGCTTGCCTTACATCCGCTGGTGCCATTTCAAAAGCGGAATTTTTCAACTGCGCCTGGTTTTCCAGATATACATGCTGCACTGTGACCAGAGGATGTGGAGAAAAATACAGGGCCTGAGGATACTGCATGTCCAGGAGTGTTCCTGTACAGGGACTCCTTGTTTTACCTGATCAAGTCTAACCTACAAGCAGCTGTGAAGAACCCTGGGGCAGTGAACTCATCAAGGCTGGATTCCCCCAGAGCACAGTACCCTGTTTGTTTTGACTGCTTGAGATCAGAGTGTCTGCCGCATGCATTGGCGAGAGGATTCTAATGACCCATGATGTTACTGTCGGTGCTACACCACCTGTTGGAATTAATTTTTCTACTTTGAGAATGTATGTACTTGCCAATAACGCGAGGGATCTATGGGGAAAGATGCAGCAATCACCGGTTGGATTTACCGATTTTGGAGCTACTTGAAAGGGAATGATATTTCCAATATTTGGTGGGACTTAATGGTAAGTTTCACACTGTTAATGCATTGTTTCTGTAACATTAGAGAGAATTGGTGTAAGGCTGGAGAAGTTATTATGTCTGTATCATGCCAGTTAAAATATGGGGTTTTGCAGTTACCTGCTTTGTTTAGAGTGTTACCAATCTCTTTTCATCAGTACATACAGTATACTGTTGTTTACCTATCTATGGAGGAGAAATTCAAACTAATTAATGCTGTTGCAGTTTGTCCTGCTGCCCACTTTCATATTGGTAAATGGTCTTATACTTGTATAGCGCCTTTCTATGCTTTTACAGCACACTCAAAGCGCTTTCACATTATTCAGCCATTCACCCATTCGCACTCCCAAGCACTCACGGATTCACACACCGGTGACATCACCGGGAGCAACTCGGGGTTTAGTGTCTTGCTCAAGGACACCTCGACATGTTGACTGAACAAGCCGGGAATTGAAACGCTAATCCTCCAGGTTAGGAAACGACTCGCTCTACCTCCTGAGCCACAGCCGCCCCATATTCTGGCTCGAACATGTCAGTTAGGATTTGAGATATTGTCATTGTCGAAGACATAGCTTATTTGTCAGTGTTTTTTGTTTATGCGTTGTCCTGGCTTCCTGACAGGCAGCAGGAGTTTTCAGGAGGAGGGTCTCTTTGTGATATTGAGGTTTTATCATTCTGAAATAATTACAGACAATTTGGAGTTATATTGGGTGCAAAGCTAATCTAGAGGTACCTGAGGTCAAACATTAAATGGCTGGAAATTAGCAAAATGAGCATTCCATGGGCTCTTTAAGGTGCTAACGTTCTCCATATTTGTGCAGCATCCAGCACATTATGACTGCAGTTGTGGTTACTGAAGAAACTCATACATCTCTCCTCTATGCCAAGATGCCAAGATAGTGGAATGATGCAGTCAAGTCACCAGAGGAGACTTTTAACAAGCGCTCGCTCAATGTTGCTAGATAAGTGCACACCGGTACAGCATTCGCACTTCATTAGTCTGAGCAACTCCAAGTGCATTTAGCATCCTCACGGTGCTCATCACCATGACAACCACAGACAACCTGCATTGTCACCATGTCTATGGAGGCAAACAGATGACAAACAAAGCCACTTGATGAGACTTTGAGGGGAGGAAAAGTAAAGTTTCTACAACCAGACTGATGCAGAAGAAAGCAGACAAGAAGAAGAAAGTGTTGAGGAGAGATGAGTGAAAAGGAAGATGAGAAATGATAGGATGCCATGGGTGCTGGAGATGAGGAGAGGGGAGCAGCCTTCTATTTATAATTCTGCAGACAAGAATATTTCCAACAGACAGTGTGTGTGTGTGTGTGTGTGTGTGTGTGTGTGTGTGAGGGAGAGAGAGAAAAAAAGGACTGAGTGTGTGTAAATGTCTATGACTGTGTGGACAAATTTTAGTTTGAAATCAACATTGTGATGGACATTTTGAGTGGGTTTGAGGGTTAAGACTTGGTTTTAGGGTTAAGGGTAGAATTAGGTTTAGGTTAGGGTAAAGAGCTGTGTCTTACATCAAAGAGTTTCCTCACAACTCTAGAAACACCAGTGTGTGTGTGTGTGTGTGTGTTTGCAGCATCACACCCAGACAAACTCTATGCACTCCTGCTGCCATAACAACGCCAGCCCTCGGATTTGGACCCAGACAATGCCACCTGAGACAACTGGCGCCATGGAGACAGGCTCATCCCCCCCATCACTTTTTTTTAAATTAATTTATTGAGGCAACATTTCACAGAAACTCCTGCACTTTAGACAGATCCATGGATCAACACTGCCACTGCAACAGCAATTTTAAACTCTGTCCTTGCTTATAAACCACACAGACCCATTGTTCAAGAATACAGCATTCACAACTGCTACTGAAACATCAATAGGCTATAAGTGTATGCAAAGGTCAAATGCGTCTATTAAAATGGTGAATCTGTGAAAACACCCTTAAGAGTTCATCCACACATGTAACACTATAAACCCATGTTCGAATTATCAAGTATTCATTAACTTGATATCCACACTTGTTACTCAGTTGGCCCCTCCCCTCTCATCACAACAACCTCCACCCCCCACGGTACGAAGCACCGATCTCTTCCTTCCCATTTAATCCCCTCCTACTTGTCTGCGCTTTCCCTCCATTTGTTTCCATGGCAATGCCTTCTGCATTGCACCAAGAACCCTCTCTCTATCCTTCTTTGCTTGTACTGTCTTCTCTACAAGTCTCACTCCTTAACCACTACTCTGTGTCTAAATCTCCCAAAATAATTTTTTTCTTTTATTGCGGCTCTCTATCTCCAGCTCTTTGTTTGCTTGAAGTCTTTTTCTTATCCCTGTTCCTCCATTTTCAGTACACACTCCTTTACTGATTTCTTTACTTTATCTGCTTTGTTTCCAAATCAGTCTTTCTTTCATTTTACCTTCTGTGATAGTTCTCTAGTTCTTTGGCCATTGTCCATCTTTATCCCACAACTCATATCTCTGTCCTGTCCATCCCACCTAAATTATTTATTTAAACAGTGTTAACAACAAATAACCCACATATCCAGGAAGAAGTAATTAGAGGTAGTCTGACATATATGCTGTTTGAGCAGCAAAAATAACATTACATAAACTGATGTGCTTCACTGTGTTAATGCGAGGGTTTCTTGGGTTGATTGTGCTACAAGGCAGTTAAGGTGTCTCTTGCTGGCTTCAATATGATGAGCAATACCCCATCCCTGAAGATGCACTCATGAATCTCACAGAAATGTGGAGCCCAGGGAGCAGTCACACACCCAAAACTTTCTTTTTGTGAATAAAAACTAACTCACAAATCACGTTTGACAATCCTTACAAGGCAGAATCAAGTCACCGGGAAGAAGATTAGGATGAAATAATGTGGTTGGTATGAGAAAAATTTATTCTTCATTGGCAACAATTAATAGCAAGAGAGGGAAATAAAGATGGGACTGCTGAAATTGGCAACAATGCATTAAAAAGCCACATGCTGTGACTGTATGTGTGTGCGCACACACACATAAGATATAGAGTGTGTGTGTGTGTGTGTGTGTGTGTGTGTGTGTGTGTGAGTGTGCATACAGTCACAGTCACACTCACACAAGCTTTATGTCATGTGTGAGTGTGACTGTATGCACACTCACACGACATAAAGCTTGTGTGAGTGTGTGTGTGTGCTCAGTAGATCATTAAAGCTGCTCTGACATTTGGAGAACACTGTTGAAGCCTTTCTCATTATATGCTGTTATATATAATGCTGTTTTTAGACTTCCTGGCAGTGCTGACATGCCTATTGGATGCACCGGTGACGGCAATGAGCCACCATGCATAGCAACAGTAACCAAGCACGGGTGTTGGAGATGAAAGATGTGTTGTGGTATCTTCACTGCCAGACCCCTGCTAAATTTGGAAGAGGAAGATTCAAGGTAGAAGCTTATGTAAAACAAGAGATCATACAGTTATACCAGATTACAGCCAGTGAGTCAGCAGTTAAAACAGTATATGTAGTAGAAAAATAAATACTGAAGTGTGATTATCATACAAGTCTTAAAAGGCTGGTGACTGACAGTTATTTAAACAGTCCCCATACAGAAACTAAGACCAACAGTGATTTACCTCTACTCATGATTAATGCCCATCAATCTGTGAGTCCTGGATTATCTTATTCGTTTGTGCTATTTAGCTTCACTGTTGTTCAAAAACAATTAATACATCAGAGAAACACACCGCTGCACTGGGTGACATGTTTCTTCATTACAAAACATAAAACCCTAATTTTTTTTTTCTTTGCCCCAAAGGCTCTGAACAATCGTAACTTATTACAGCTTATGAAGTAAGGGTCCATTCACAAGATCTCTGGATATTCTATATAAATACCAGGGTCTTGTGTTTTGTAATGAGGAAACATATCACCCAGTGCAGCGGTGTGTTTCACTGGTGTGTTTTTAATTTTAAACAATTAAATTTTGAACAATAGAGGTACCTTTTCTGAGTAAAGGAAAATCACCTTTATTGTTACACACAAGGAATTTGTTTCTGGTACAGAACCGAGGCAGCCATCTGCGGCGCCAACTCAACTGACGGCTCTAACCATCGGGGGCAACGGGGTGGGGGTTTCAGTGTCTTGCCCAAGGACACTGACACGTGGACTGCAGGCAACGAGATTCGAACCTTCAACCTTCCGGTTGGGAGACAACTGCTCTACCCACCGCACCAAAGCTGGGGAACAATAGTCTGTATAAGGTGGGGAAGAAGGGGGAGAAAATGGGGAAGAGAAAAGAGAGAGATTCACAGACACCAGTTTACGTAGAATAGAATTTTTCAATAATGAAACATAAAACAATTTCACAGATCTTATTTTGTATATGATACATTTGTGAAGCAGCTACTAATATTATTCCTCTTCAAATAGAAAAAGTGACTGTCCAATGTATTAATTAGTTTATAACATTTCAAAAGAAAACCTATTACCATTGTGTAAAAGCAACAAAGGTTGCTGAAGGTGTGGTATAAAAAGGAAATGTATAAAAGCAAGTAAAAATGTAACAGTAAGGTCCCAGTTTATGTGCACAAAGAAAACAACGATTAGAACACCAGGAAAGAACAATTATTAACTTTCAATTAAGTGGTAACTCAAATATGAACTAGAGAATAAACTGAAATGTGAACAGCTGCAGTTCTATGGCAAATGAGCAGGTAGCAAGCTGGAAGCTTGTTGATAAAATCATGTGACCTGATCAAACTTTTCAAAGCACATGACTGACTTGTGCCGATAATTTTAAAATATAATAATAAAATAAAGAAAATAAAATTGACCATGAGGCTGCAATCAGAGGGCACCTAATTATTTTTCATCTTGTCCAGCCACTGTTCTTTGCTTATACTTTCTGATTTGGGGCAGTATATTTTTCCCTTATATTGACTATGACCCATTGCTTCAGTGCGAAACTAGTCACATTTCCTGCAAATGTTAAATGTGACAATTCGATTGTACTGCCATTTTGTGTGTCTAGTCGTGTCACTACTGATGCTTTCAGTGGCAGGTGGAGTGACGCACAGG